ACATACATATATATAACAACCAATGCTGTCTTGTTTTTACCTTTGTTTATTTACCCTTTTCAGTCTTTTATATTTTAATTTATTTTGTGTTTCTCCATCTAATCTGTACTGTTTCTTCTGCTTTGCTTTGAAGGTTCTCACTCATCAAATGATGTAGATCATATTTCCTCATTGACTTCTAAATTATGCAGTCTGTTACTTATGATACCAGGTATTGTTCAAACTAATTCATTTTACTGCCTTTATTTATTTCTTCTGCCTTGTTTCTCATGAAGTCATTCATGTGACTGCAGTAATTAAGTTTTCTTTTTGAGAAAATGTACGAATAGTCTTCAACTTATTTTATTATATGAAATAATTAGAAAAGAGAAGAAAGTGGAGAGACAAAATAATAGGGGACAATGAGAAACAAAACAACAAATTCTATCCTAAGAGAAATGGATAGGAAAAAGAAAGCAACCAATCTTATAATGAAATTGGTTGTTTAAATTCCAACTTGATTCATTTTGCATGAATTTGAAGGGGAGAAGTCTTCTCGATAAATTATGTCTGCTCATGTATCTCTGTATCTTATATGTTTATCGGTTCATTGTCCGTTCCAAGGTTTTGGCTTCAGATGGGTAAACATAATTTGGATTGGCTTAACTCACTCAGAAACTACTTTTGATGTGTGTGATCTAAGATAAGTCTTCTCTTCCAAGAGAGCTTCTGTTTGTTACTGCATTTGACACCCTGACAAGATTGACTTAACGAATATTGATTTTCTTGAATATCTTATGACCATCATTTTAGGAATTCTGCTGATGGAAAAGCATGTCTTAGGTTTAAATTCTATGGTCTTGAGGTTGTTTTAAACTTTTAATCCTCTATTTTTTTAAGTGTATTGGGAGATTATGGAGTTGCAAGTGCATATATCATGTAGTACTGTAATTATCTAGCTGTATGTTGTTAACAAGCTACCTATAAATCCACAAGAAACTTTTTTTTCTTTCTCAATTTCTGTTTCCTTATTTGGTTCAGGTAACCATGAAGAAGGGTCTGTGTGTTTGATACGAAATCTCATAACAACTCTACAAGGTCACTCTTTGTAAGTCTTCTGTAATAAATCTGGCATACTATTTAATATGCTGATGGTTAAGTTTAATTGTGTATATCATGTTGACTATCGTAGGGCATCATCAAAAATTAAAGTGCAGGTATTCTGTGCGATCATATCTCTATCAGCAGGTCTATCTCAGAAAAAGTTTTTGTACCATGCAAAGAACATGGAGGTATGTTCTGCTACAATGGAATTTATAGTGTACTTATCCAGACTCATCACAACACAATGAATCTGATATTGATACCAGCAGATCCGGCCTGTATCAATCTATAATAACACATGGGACAGGACTGGTGCTCAGTACCATAACAGTGATAACCAGTAAAATGACCTTGTATGCAACCAGTATTTGAATCGAAGTCAATTCAAAATAGTTGGGGCATTGGTTGTATCATTGGAGGAATCCTGCAGTGTGAACTGCACATACTCTCGTTTAACCATAATAGAGAAAAAAGGACCATCTTCCATAGTGAGCATCATTAATGGCGAGGGTTGAAAGAGATGTGTAGGTTAGGGAAATTATTAATTAACAATTTGCATTTTGACCTTCTATTTTCTGATTTTCTTTCTAGATGCTTTTATTTATTTGATATCTCAAATGTCATCAACAATGCGTTATGGGTCTTCTTTTGTGATCAAAATATAGTAAGCATCATCAAAAGTGAGGATTGAAAGAGACGTGCAGAGAGGGAAAACTATTATCAAACAAGTTTGCATTAACCTTCTATTTTCTGTTTTTATTTCTAGATGCTATTGTCTTATTTGATATCTCAAATGTCATCAACAATGTGTTGTGTCTACTTTGTCGATCATAATATGTAGATTTATTGTTTGAATACTGAAAGCAGATGTAATGGGTGTGATTTTTTTTGCCAACTTTGTTTTTATATACTTCCGTTACACTCAATCTCAAGAAAATGGAAATAATTTGAATGAAAAAGATTTTGGTCCCTGTTTCTGTTTTCTCTTAAAATTTCTTCCAATTGACAAACATTGGAAAAGAAAGTTCTGCTACTCCAAATTTTGCAAGTGCCTTCATCGATCAAGTTATAAGTAACGATCTGTGCAGGTTATAAGTAATGATCAACTGTATTTTGGGGATCCGTCCTTTGATGAAGAGCTTTCATCTATCGCCAGTTTAGTTCTTCAGATCCTAGAAGATGTTATTAAACAGGAGATGCACTTGGTAAGCTCTTTGTAAACACTAATTCTCAATCATTGTAAAACATATCGGCGTTCTCATGTCATAGGCACACTTGTTGTTTGCTTGTACAAGGTGACACGAGGCAGATTGGCTCTGGATGCTTGCAACTGCCTTCTTGTATCATTCAAAGTATGTGCCTGAATGTCTTTCTTTTTCTTTTCTCTGGGTTTAGGTTATTTGCTCAACTCATAGTTACCATTTGTGAGAACGTAAATGCTAGTGATGATATACTACTCTCTCTTGATGATCTTGCAGACAAGTCATGAACTCTCTCTAAAATGCTCCAGCCTGATTGATATTGCCGAGTCATGCTTGCATCCGAAGGAGAAGTATCTACGATCGACTGTTAACTTGATGGACAGGCTCTCCTCAAATATCGGGGACCAAGTTGCACCTTCATTAGAATTGACATTGGTTGTGCAACGCTAAGAATAAAATCAATTGGCTTTATGGGGTTTTAATATATCTTTATTTACGTGAGTTGCTGTGATTTGTAGCTGAGTTAACAAGAAGATTAGAACATTTTTTTTGTTTTTCCTGTCAATATTCATTTGTCCATTCTCTACAACACTATGAAATGTACAAAAAGAAAATTACTTTGCATATATTGTTGAAGTAATCACATTATTATTCTAAATAAAATACTGATGAAGCTTTGCCATCCCATGGTCTGCTAGACTTGGTTGAATCTCTTCGTGCAAGTGGATATGCTAGTGGAGAAAATTGGGAGAAGCAAAAAAGGAAAGGAAAAAAATTTTATGCCAGTTCTATTTGTCCATAACATACGCTCAACTACTGTCCATCTTGTGTTGGTCTTACGTATTTTGGTCAACAATAGTATGACGAATGTCCCAATTGCCAGCCAAGAATAATACAATGTAGGACGATGCTTTTTTAATATTTTTGGTACGTGTCATGTTGTCTTCGTAAGTTACTGAGGTCTATCATCTTCTTTCTCAGATCCGGAGGTCCTTGAAGCTGAGATCCCGCAGATCTACCTTGGAGTTAACCGACCAACCGATCTCGCTGTGTCTCAAGCCAGCGTTGCCCCCCATCGGTAAGCATGTCGAGGCTTGACTACCGTATGCGTTCCCTCTCTTTCTTTGACGTCAAGGAAGCTCTGTCGCACAAGTGGTGGAACTCCGCACATTGAGGAGGCCCCTAAACGACTCCAACCCGATTAAAGTAAACCCCCTACGACTGGAGTCGCAACTAAGCAAATGCGCCTCCCACACGTTCGTTCCTCAACACACCCCCCAACCCATATTATTATTTCCAGCGGTGCCACACCCATCACCCCACCCCAAAACCCAAACCCTCGTTATCCATGTCTTCTCCCTCTCTCCGCCACCACTCCTCTCCTCTTCCATGGCCTTGAGGAGGTCTGTCCTCGCCGGCCTTCTTTGTCTCACCATCCTCTTGCTCTTGCTTCACGGGTGGAGCCATCTGAATCAGTCCAGGCGACGTCTCGGCTTGAGGCGCGGTCCCTCGACAGTCCCCCGGAAGCTGCTATCGTCTCGCTTCGATCTCACGGCGTTCGACCACACGACGCATTACCGCCATCACCATCACCATCGTCATCGCCCTCACCGCCATCATCGTGACAGGCAAACGGCGCATTCGTCCGCGGAACAGCCCAGCGGTGACGAGATCGACCCTCGCTACGGTGTCGAGAAGAGAATCGTCCCCATGGGCCCAAACCCATTGCACCACTGAATGGAGACGATGATGATGTTGGTGAGTGCTCCTCCTCCCGTTGGTCGCATCCCGTTCTTCAAAGCTGGATGGGAGGGAACATTAAGCTCGCATGACACTAATAATGGCTTCCACTTGGACGCTTTGTTCGTTGGTTCTTCGTGTGCTCTCCTGGATGCAGCTCTCCACAGTCCGTAGGTCTTCCTGAAATCAAGAAAGGGGAGTAAACCTCTGCACAGCCGTCCGCGTTCTTGGTGTCGGGAACAGCACCGGTGGTTGTGGTCTATATAGATATATATATATATATACGTAGAGTCGTGTAGCAAAGATGAGTAACGGGGACGGCACGACGGCGTTGGCACAAAAGACCACGTATGTACCTGCAATAAGTTACTGCACGCACTTATAAGGGGAATGCTATGTATGCCATAGCATGTACGTGTTGCAATCTTCTTTCACTCATTTTCTAATTAGTCACTGCCCTCGGTCCGGCAGTACAGAGGGATTCTTGCTTTGTGTTGGTGAATATTCTCGTTCATATGCATTTGTCGTTCGAACGTATTCATATGCATTTGTCGTTAACGTTAATAAGTTAACTAGATAGATAGATGTCTTGATATTTTGGTAGAAGAAGAATGATGTTATAGTTGATACCCATCAACCACACGGCTAACACCTTGATGTTACATGAACGACGCTTACCAAACGTATAATTAATGCCCTAATTCTATGTGGCGGACACCTGTTAGTCATGTAGTAAATTGATCCCGTACGATCAACTCATCCTTGTAGATATAAAAGCTAACCCTCCTCATTAGCTCACCCCTTTTTTAACCACGTCAGTGTTAGCTTAACCATTGGAGGGGTCAAGTCGGAAACCCCTCCCCTCTCGATTGAGACCTATGTGCAAGAGCCTGCCGACGACGAAGCAAACTACGTATCAATAGGAGCACGAGTGGAGCTAACTCGAAGTCCAACTTGAGCCGACGAAGACCTTGTCATTCGGACGATTCTAAACATCGATAACTGAATCGAGCTGTGCTGGCACATAGACCACGATTAGAAAAGTCTGTTAACAAGAATCAATCAGTAATTTACCCCACTCTCACCGACCGTCACAATTCCTACCGAAGCACACTCCACATTTATCCATTAGAGAAGTTGTTCGAACCATCATCCCATTCATCCCACGGCTGGCCCAACTAACCAAACAATGCCCGACTTCTTCGACAACACCTCTTAGTTCCTAATATTATGGTAGGATACCAACCACCCCTGAAGGAGGTTCCTCGTGAGGTGAGGTGCAATCTCCAAAGTTGAAGTTCCTAAGGAGTATGTTATTCAATCCATTAGACTCCCACCATAAGTATGTAATTAGCTCTTTCAGATGGATCAACGCCTCAAAGACATAGGAAAGCAATCCAAGCTAGACCCTATCTCCGATCTTCTTTTGTCAAAAATATCTAGGAAGAATCCATCCAATGGAAACATACAAAGGGGATTCAGATCCATTAGACATTTGCCATGCAAATGACACTTTACGAAACGATTGATTCTCTCATGCGTCTAACTTTCAGACAACACAGAATGGTTCGCCAAGCTCCCTCACAGACCAATCCTTTCATTCGACCGACTAGCCAAGGAGTTCAAACTTAAACTTTATTAATTACAAACTCTATCGACGATATAATCAAAAGATGGCGAGACACAATCCATTCTCATCAACGTTCATATCCACTATCTTCATCCTTTTGGATTTTTTTTTTTTTCGTTTAGTGATTACTAAACAGTCAATCAATTAACCAACATATTATATTAAAACCCTTGATGGTTGGGAAACAAAAAAGTCAAAGAGAAGAAATCAGTAAAAAGTGATCTTCAAGGTCAACTCACTCTGAGCCACCTTTGATGACCTTACTTTGAGCAAATGAAAGATCATGGAAGAGACCGAATCGAATCGTAGTCTACACCCTTAAATACATGTAAATAAGAAAAAAAGAACTCCTCAAATAAACAAAAAATGAGATGTAGTTAGCGTTAATAAATTTACAAGTGTATATTTCTTCAGGTTAGCCACTGCATCACCTATTTATCCTGCCATCTCCCCATGCATCTTTGCCACCCCAAAACCCCACCCTTTCTTCGCCCCCAAACTGCTTGCTTCATTGCCACATAGAACGTTTGGACATTCTTCGTTCAATTCCCCAAGTCGATCTTCTCGTCCCTACACATCAACATCTTCTTTCCATTTGATACGACGTGTAACATCAAAGGAATTCGTCGACTGGGAAGATGTTTTTCACCGTGTTAGTGGTATTTCTACGCCGGCGCACGTAAATATTCTTCTACGCATACGGTGCGTAGCAGCAGCGTGGAGAAAGAGATGCGGGCGACCGCAGTCAACGGAACCCACCAGCTCGCACGCGCGTCTCAAAACCTGTGGATTTGGCGACGCGGGCGAAACCATGGGCAGTTTTCAGCGGCAGTTTTCCAGTACCAGGAGCAAGGAACCGCCGCTTGGACCCACCATCTTTTCGATTCACGACTCGGCTGCTTGCCGTAGAACAGCAAACACCAGATAACTGAGTGGTTGTAGGATGCGCACGTTCTTTTGGGCCAATTGCTGTGCGAATTTGTCTGTTTGCTGTCGCGACTGGCGCAGCTAAGATCGCCACCACCACCCACGGGACCCCCTCCTTCCCAAAACCGCCTGCGTACTTCCACCACCCGAAACCGGCGGCACCCACAACTCGAAGGAGGACGGTGGAAGCTATTCCCATCGGAGGGAGTGACGCCACGCGGGGTTGCTCGTACTTTCCTTTCGGCCGGTCAGGGAAGAGCAAAGGCGTAGTGCAAGCCCATGATGCAGCGATTGCCGCCGCTTTCGGAGTAGTAATGGAGCCATAGGGTGTCTTCATTCTCCTCGGTGAGAGCATCAGTTACGAAATCTAGCGATCACCTGGTCTTGACTCGTAGGATATTGTAGAGAGAGAGAGAGAGAGAGAGAGAGAATGGACGGAGGGAATGGCATGCCTGGGGGATTGCTAGGCTTGGACATGTCGCTCCAACCGCATCAGCAGATGCATCAGCAACAAGGTAATCACTCGCAGCAGCAACAGCAGCCGCTGATTCATCACCACCTCCAGCAGACACACCACATGGTACCGTTCCAGGCGCCGATGGCTAAGGACAGCGACCACCAGGGGCAGCACCCCGTCAGGCACGCCCAGTACGTACCGCCGCTTGGCCATGTCAGATCTGAGGAGGAGCCCCGGTACGGGGAGGATGTCGATGAGCAGGGGCGGCGCGGGGGAGTACCGTCGCAGCCGTCCTCGTCGGCCTCCCCGTGGCACCGGATGAAGTGGACCGACGGCATGGTGCGGCTCCTCATCCAGGTGGTGTACCACGTGGGTGACGACGGCGGCGGGGCGGAGGGGGAGCAGCAGCAACCCCACGGCACGGTTGCCAAGGGCAAGAAGTCGGCGGCGGCCTCGGCCCCGGTGTCGGCGCTGTTGCAGAAGAAGGGGAAGTGGAAGTCGGTGTCGCGGGCGATGATGGAGAAGGGGTTCTACGTGTCGCCGCAGCAATGCGAGGACAAGTTCAATGACCTGAACAAGCGGTACAAGCGGGTGAACGACCTCCTGGGGAAGGGGACGGCCTGCCGGGTGGTGGAGAACCAAGCCCTCCTTGACACCATGGACCTCTCGCCCAAGGCCAAGGACGAGGCCCGCAAGCTCCTAAATTCCAAGCACCTCTTCTTCCGGGAGATGTGCGCCTACCACAACGCGGGAGTCTCCTCCACCTGTGCCGCCGCACCCCCTCCGCAGATTCCCCTGCCGGCACCGTCGGATCAGCAGCAGCTCTGCTTCCACCACCCGCCTGGCCTGGTTGACACGGTACTGTTCACGACGAAGGCTGCTGTGGGTTGGAGAGGAGGCGGTGCCCCTGCCGCCGCCGAAGATGAGGGAAATGCAGAGGAAGTCGACGATGACGACGATGCAGACAGCGAGGACGATGATGACTATGACGACGACGGGGATGAAGACAACGACGACATGGAAGGTCAAAATCATAAGCGCCACGGCGACCACCACCACCAACACAAGCACGAGGAGGCGGAGGAGGACGAGGACAGCAAGGGGTTCGTGTCAGGTCTCGCAGGTGGCAGGAAGGACAAGAGGACGGCGTCCCAGATGTCGGCCTCTCCGCCGCTCTCGCTGACGCTGTCGTCGCCCTCCAGCTCCATGCGGCAGCTGCAGTCCGAGCTGATGGCCATGTCCGGCGGAGGGGAGCTTCAGCAGCAGCAGCAGCAGCGGCAGTGGCTGAAGAGGAAGGCAGCGGAGCTGGAGGAGCAGCGCGTGGCGTACCAATGCCGGGCCTTCCAACTAGAGCGCCAGCACTTCAAATGGCTCCGCTTCAGCACCAGCAAGGAGCGCGAGATGGAGCGCATGAAGCTGGACAACGAACGCCTGTGCCTTGAGAACGACCGCATGCTGCTGCTGCTCCGACAAAAGGAGCTCGAGCTTACACACGGAGGCAGTGGCGGCGGCGGATCCTCCGCCGCCATCCCCTCTGCCGAGCAGCAGCTGATGCTTCAGAACACCAACACCAATCAGAGGCGCCCTGCAGAGCAGCCCCACATACCAAATGCGGATCATGCTTCTACCACGGCTTAAAGAAGCTTTTCTTCTATGTTTTCCCGACAAAGATGAAGACAGCAGGGGAGATTTCGATGTGTGCGTGCGGTAGCGGGCAATTGAAGTGTACATCCATCCATGCCTCGATGATTCATATGGTCTTCTATAACTCAAACACAAGCGGACAAGTGAAAACAGTAGGATGTTCTTGTTCATGTTTTATCTGTAATTTTTTTTCTCATTTAAAGCAGTTTTTAACTAAGTTAATTCTCGAGTCCAAATCATCGTGACATTGATTCGAGCACAGTACTGGCAGGTACAGACAAAATAGGTACAATAATTTATTTATAGAGTTTGATGTGCCGTCGTGGTCTCAGTGGAAAGTTATTTGCTGTGTCCCGAGATGATCATTTCTCAAGTCACTGTTGATGTCAAATTCTGCCGTTCAGAATGCACTGATTCGTCTCCGATGTCACAATGAGAGCAAAAGGCCCAAATCTTACCTGTTAGTAGACTCAATTGGAAGAATATAATTCAGACTCAACATAGAGGAGAATTGTTGCAGTGGCACAATGAAAACCAGTGTCTGTGCAATCCCTCATTCGAGTAAACACTAGTAACTGATGTGGGTATTTGCACAAATCTATGCACAGCAATTCGGAAACTTACCAACATCAGATGTTTGTTTGTTGGATTATGGTTTATTTGAGGAAACATCTAGGTAAACACAAAAAGAGAAATAGTCAATAGTTCAGCCACCTCCTGTTCGGAATTTGCGAGAAAACAGCTCTTCAATCCTCTAACTCGATAATTTTGACCACTGAAGCATCTCCAACTTTCTGGCAGACGACAACTCGATCATGAGACTTGATCAGACCGGAGGCCTTGCCATGATCAAGAGCAACCTTCAAAACTGACTCATTGCTGGCACTGGTAGACTCAGCCTGCAGGAGTACAGGATGTTAAGTTACATTGCTTAGAAACAAAATGCCTATATATTACTGTTCAATAAAAGAGCCAGCTGTTAGCCTTAAGAAGCAATAAAAGGTTATACAGATAACCCATGAATGGATAAAGAAGACCATTCTCAAGTAGTACAATCATCCAACCACTGTAACATCATTTCAACTAGAATGATTCTTATTAGCATGTTTTTACTCTCGGGCAGGAATTCGTTGTGAATGTTACATGCCTTCGTCTTATACTCTTCTGAACCAATTGCTTATGTTGACAATATATACCATACAGTTCTGCTGCTTCTCAGTCAGTGCCCTCACCAATAAAAGAGCTTGGCCACAGATGGTATGGGTGAGCAAGCATCTATTTGGTTCCTTTATGGTCACTTTCTCTTCTTGTGACGGAGTATCACGTGAAAGCATTATATATTTTGCCGCAGGCAACTTGAGGCATTTTCATGGTAAATTAAACAAAATCAGCTAACAAGAATATTGGAAGTTCATTTGTTCTATCAAACATGGTCTCATCCAAATTATCCTCTCATTATAAAAAAAAAAGCTTCAACAATCCTAATTAGAACACATTCCTCTCACCTATGTAACACTCATGCCAACAGCTGTCAGGTGTTTTTAGGCCTTATCAGAAACTAATCTGAAAGTGGTCATTCTGGTCACCCAACTTATTGTTATTAATCCAATTCATCATCCATGACAATATTTGAATTATAAGAATCTTTTAACTAGATGCAGATCCTAAAATCAACACATCAAACTTGCTATGGCTGAGTTTATATTATATCCAAGAAAAATGAGCAATCAAATTGAGTGAGGAATTTAATCCTGTGAGAAATATCAATCCTTACTCTTAACAAGTAAAACACCAAATATTTTGGCTGGTTGACTTATATAGCACAAGATATCCTAGAAAAGATTCATGAGGTATCTTCTCAGAAGATAGAAGAGCATCATTCCAAAATATCATGCATACAAGAAGCACATGAAGCTTAGGGAAGATGGGATATGGAAAGTACTTACAGGATGACGAGGATCAGCGAGCATAGGAAAAAGACCTCTAACTATAAGTGATTGTCTGGCCTGCCAATATTAATAACCTTTATCAGTGTTGGATCAAATGTGCCTACTAAAAACCATCTATAAAATAAATACAAGAGTGGTAAAAGATGCCAACATCACAAATACACAATAAAATTTATTATATAAACAGTGGAAATAAAAAAGAAAGAAAACAAAATCCTCAATTATTACTAGTGCATATCATCTCCATGACTTAATGTCTCAGGCTTGGTCAATATTAGTACAAAGAGTGGATAAGCTCACATACTTCAAAAGCGCCACTGAAACTCCATCGAAGTTGGTTTGTCTTAAGCCGAGGGATGACAACAGATAATACAGGCATGGTGGGTCTATACTTGGCAATTAATCTACACAAGAACAAAAGACACGTCATGTATGTCAGACTTTTGGTATTAGCCACTGAACAACATAAATTATGTGAAAATTTGAATGACTTGCACCTTGCAGCTCTACCAGATGAAGTGAAACAAATTATTATGGAAGCCTTCACTTTAATAGCAGCACGAACCTAAAGAAGATCATAACAGTGACCTTAACTATGTTTTTCAACTTTACATATAAGTACACTTAATTTGATAACAGCTAAGTATACTTGAAATAAATAAGGCAAAAACATACAGCCGAGGAAGCAATGGACTCCAGGTGGGTCATCGGTTCTCCAACATATTTCACAGTCTTCTTGAAGTACAAATCCTGGTTGAAAACCTTCTCTGCCTGCAAAAAATAGTTTTTATGATGATCAAAGAACAAGAAAAGCATCGCAAAGAGAGAAGAGAAGGATGAGGGTGGGGACTACAGACATGCGCATTGCAAAAACACTCAGTTACAAGAACTTCATGAGTTCATAAATGATGCAACAAAATCAATAATAAGAAAGCAAAATAAATTCAAACAAAAGAAGAAAAGAAAAGTCTTCGATCCACTATGTTAGCAATATGATCCTACAACCCTTTGATGAGATTAAAAAAATCACAGGATTAGTCACAGCTTTTCTCCTACAAGTTGCACCAAACTCTTCACACCCAAACACCATACACGCATTTCATATAGTATTTTTCTGTGATTGCTTAAAATACAACATTAGGGCTCATAACATCCTCATTTATATTTAAATCAAAACTTGTATATGTTGGCTTTCCGTATTTTACCAAACCATGCATCTTTTCCAAACACAAATAGGTCATTTAAAAAGTCTTTATTACCCGTCATATATCAGAACACAAACTGAGACAATAAAAGTGAAAAAAGGTAGCCACTCACGAACCACATAGCACCGTAGCATATATGAAAAGAGAGCATGCATATTAAAAGCTTGTGTCAATTCAAACTCTTCCATATATTTTATCAATCCCCATAATAGCTATATATTAGTTCATCATTAATAATCAAACATTTAGGACTACAAACAAAAGGCTTACCTCGTAACAAATTCTACCCACAGTCGATATAGTTTCAACAGGGTACAATCCTCGAAGTGTTTCAGCACCCAAAAGAATTGCATCACTTCCTGGAAAGAATCAAGATTGCTGATTCAAAGCTTTGAATAATAAATGAATGCATGTGTCCTGGACTACGAAAATGGACAGTACTTTAACGAATATACCATCAAGTATTGCATTCGCCACATCAGTTGCTTCGGCACGTGTTGGCCTCAAGTTGTCGGTCATGCTATCAACAACACGTGTGATAACTGCTGGCTTTCCAGCCATGTTGCATTTATAGACAGCAGCCTTCTGAAATAGAAACACCTGCAGATAAATAAGACATTAGGTAATAGAATACTTAATTAAGGTAGGTGCAGTAGTAAATATAAGAAACAGACACTATTCTAGGACAACAAAAAGAACAGCAATCAACATTTTGGAGCTATCAAGCACAAAAAGCATTTCTGCAATTTTTCCTCATTTCTGCTAGATTAATAACTCTCCGATTAACTCTCTTTATCCTCAAAATAGTTGCTGAAAAATATTCTGCCGATTGAGATGTTCATAGGTAAGTTCTTCATGAATTGATAGGCACGTCTTAAACACTCGTGAACTATTCCAAAATTCACTCAACACTAAGAGTTGCATCAGATGACTACATCCTTGGCAAATAACGAGGTAATTAATAATCATATCTTGCTTCAAAATTAATTTTTTTCTTATTCGTTTGTATTCATACATATAATTTCCATCATGAAACATGTATAATATCACAAAGACTTTCATGGTTTGAGTAGTTTACATTATGGTTTGTCTTACCGGTCCATACCGATGTACTAATCGGCTATCTATATAATACATACTGAATCGTACCAATATACCAACATACGATATGTGGGACGTACCAACAAACCAATATATACCGCTCATGATTTGTCTTACTGGTCCATACCAATGTACTGATCGGCTGTCGATATGATGTGTACCGTACCGTACCAATGTACTAACATATGATACGATAGAATGCACCAACAAACCAATATGTATCGCTCATACTGGTCCCCGATCGGACTGGTACATACCGTCCATACTGGGTGGTACGGCAAACCTTGGTTTACATCCTTATCAGCCATGGTACCGACAATAATTGTGTGCAAATTTCTCAAAGGTGCAGCAGCACAAACTAACTGGAAAATCAGAAACTGAAGTGTATGTATTTGTCAACAGACAATCAATGTCAAAATTTTAAGTAATGGAGAGAAAGACAAAGTGACACAAAATATCTTCACGTAAAAAGACCAGTGACCACAACAACCAGCAAACAGCATTCCAAAGAACCTCTGTGAGATGCAAAGAGACCATGTTTACAAGAACAAAGGACTTCCAAGAACTGAGCCAAAATAATTCATATAGAAAGAATTATTAGATTAGTTGAAACTCAAACCAGGCCAAGACATAATGGTTTCTTCTTCTCTTCATCTTGAAGAGGTTCTGGATTCAAATCCTTGATGAGGTTGTGCTCAAGTATTTGACCCAGGTATTTCTGTTACTCTCACATTAACTGGAACCTGGTTGCAACACTGAAGTCATGCGATTGTATAATAGACATGCTCATAAAGCTTGTTTCAATCAGATACAAAAAACATGTTATTTTATGGCCGTTATTTCACTATGTAGGAGCGCACATGGTATAAAATCATTTACTAATATGCTAAATGCAGATGCAGCCATGTCTAAATTTCATGAAATTTTCACATGCATTAGACTGGATAATCCTGACCTATCTATGCTACATGTTCCCAAGAACATTATGCAGAACTAAACACCAAGTACAGCATTATTTACACATTCGATATCAAGGGTTTGTAAATAGCAATCATTTTGCAACTTCAGAACTAGATAGTGAAGACAAAGAGTTTGTCAATGATTATTATGCAAGAAGTTAGCTATCCAGAATTAACAAGGTAATAATGACCACACAAAATTCAATAAACTGACTCATTTTAGCCTTATTTAATTAATTGCTCATATTTCACTCATTATAAAAATTTTAATTTTGCTTTACACAGCCATCTTTTGTGATTTTCATTGACATCCAGTGAGATGTCACAAATATAATAACTCAGGAGTAATAGCTGTCCCAATGCTAGCCACAATAATGAAATTTCCCAACCTTCTCAGGTGGGAGATCTATTCCAAGATTCCCACGCGAAAGAATGATGCCATCTGCTTCTTGTAGAATCTCATCAAAATGTGTTAGACCCTTCAAGAAAATGAACAATGGAACTCGTAACAGGAAAGTTGTAAGGTAAATGTGCTAATTAACATTATTTATTTTGCAGCTAACCTCTATGCTCTCGACTTTTGCAAATATTTGTGTTTGGCAAAGATCACCTAACTTTGACAGGAATTCTCGAGCCTGAACTCATTGAAAGAAAAACACAAAAGAAGTTTTAGGTAAATGAACAAGTCGAGCATCAAATCAGGAAAAAATAATTGCAAAAGAAAAATAAAGATTTGGAAATCAACTCATTGAATTAAATAGCTTACTTGCCGAACATCTTCAGCATGCCTCGTATAAGATAATGAAAGGAAGTCAATTTTGTTGCGGACACCCCATGTACCTATTGCCTGAAAAACAGACAAATTGTTTAATGGGATAAGAAGCTTATAAATATAGATGCTATAGTAATCAAGAAACATATTTAGTACCAGCAAACAAGAAACTGTATTGATGATAATTCGTCTCTCTCAAGGACTAAAGTTAGCAGTCTGATTTGAAAAGCTATATAGAATAGACACTCTTTTTTCTTTAAAAAAAAGGTTGCTGACATCAGAGTTATGCAGTGGACTTGAAAAAACATCAAGCACAGGTTCAACCTAGTGTGGTCGGTTGACCACTGTAATCAAAATTTAAAAAACATTTAAAAAATGGTAACAAGGCTCTGAAATGACTATAAAACCAAAAAAAATGCTTCTCTCACTCAACAGATTACCCATAACAAAAAAGACCATAGAAATGCAAGAACATGATACAACCAGCTTTATAATTATGTGAGGAATGGATTAACCTATGCTAAGCTGCTGATAGAAATAATGTTGGCACTGGTAGAAGTCGGAAGCTAAAGTCTAGAGGATGTATCCTTGCTATGTGTCAGAAGGCCTTTTAATTAATTACGGAGAGATAAATCATGATGATGATAGAGAAAGGCCAATTTTACTCCAAATTTGTCCTCTAAGCACAACTGTTCTTTTCTTCCCTGTCTGTATTATATACTGACAATTTGATGCACTATATCATTATAATATAGCTTCACCATAACTGCTTTTTAGATTGCTCTATGAGGCGAGTTAAAGATGATAATAGATGAAATAATCAAGAATTAATGAGTTTTTCACACAAAATATATCAGGAAAGCTTATTAATATGATAAGAGCAATGCTGATCAAGAGTTACAATGTTTTCTCTTACAATTTTATCAGCTTCAGTAAGTGTTGGCAAATCAATATGGATTTGGGAGACATGCAGGGTGAAGAGTGACCCAGCCAGAGTAGCAGTATTTTTTATTATACAGAGTACATCTTCCCCTTTCAACTCAGAAACCTGCAGATACATCAAAAATCAAAAAGAAAAAAGAGAAAAGTGAGCAGCGAAAAAGCCTCAAGAAATATAAGAAGTGACTAATGTAACAGAGACTAGCAAGCTAAAATATACAATATCCTGCTTAAGCAACTCTTCTCAGACTGCAATATTAGTCCCCTTCGACAGCTGAGTAAACCAGTTCTTTTAATTATCAGTCAATCAAGAAATAGCAGACAGCTTTGAAAAGCCATACCTCCAACCAAACAGATGTAGTTTCACTTCCAGTGAACAAGTACTGGCCAATAAATATTGTGTCCCCTGGCTTTACCGCCTGGACAAGAACAAATTATATGCAAATGTTACTTTGAGTAATTCTTAAGTTAAAATTGCAGTCTGGTAGATACAAAATGGCTGAAATATAATAGCTGAACTTCATGTCCACAGTAGCCCCTAGATGGATATTATGTGATGTAATAGTTGAACTGTTAAACCTAACATCTATGGTCAGCATGTGATAGTTATTGTGTTATAGTGCATGTTCCAAATTCAAGAAAACCTAGGAAAGATCACAGATACTTATCAATTCAAGTCATCCAATGCATCTACAGTGATAAATTATCTTGTTTCAATCAACCCAATGCAGATTAAATCAGGTACTCGATTCTATCATTCTAAATATTGTTGAGTTCAGTTAGCGTGAGTATGATGTGATTGTTAGAATCACAAATAAAATTACAAAAACCACACATACACAGAGGAATGAGGATAGTAAGTTCAAGGTGAGTAGGAGAACAAAACTATTCAGCATGTGATGAAGGATAGATGATGAAATCCAAACTACATGGTAATATGATTTTTGCATATGAATATGTTTGTGGGCCTGAAAGATCAAGATTCGAATCACGGAAATAACCTCTTTAAAATATTTAAAGATAAAGCTACATATATTGACCCTCTCCGGATCCCACATTGATGGGAGCCTTATGCACTACGTACGCCCTAATATGTTTGTGAACACAGGCATCCCCTATTTTTCAACTCATTCATTCATCATGATTACATATTTAGTTATTTCTGTAGCAAAAGGAGCGATCAATAAGAGGAGCTAAATAAGATAGAGGAACCGGTCGAGAGAGTGGGAGAGATTGAGCACGCAGGAGAACAAAGAGAAGGTAGGCACATTTCATGTGCAGGGTTTTGAACGAGCAAGAACAGTTAAATAGGATGAGAAACATTTGTTCCAACATAACAATTGATACAAGGAAATTTATATTAAACCAGATTAAGGAATATATGCACACGCAGAACTTAATGAGATCACCTAGTTATTAGCATAGTGCAACAATGAGCATGGTTCGAAGAAGAAAATTGCTTGCCTTTGACAATCCACTAAAGTTTATAGGCAACAACTCAGACGATGCTTCCTGCTCCTTATCTGGTGTCAAAATAACATAACCATCCGCCTCAAGTGAGATGGCCTTCTCGCTTTTGTTCACAACCTGCAGCTCTGGACCCACTGTATCTAACATGACCTGGAAAACAGGAAAAGTTATTGGTCTTTATGAAGCATTTTACAAAGTTATATTATACAATCAGAAAAATTGTCAGCTGGATCTGAATTTGAAGATACAAGTTTCATGACCAGACAAATTAAAAGTAAACTAATATGTAAGTCAAAAGAGCAGGCCATGCTTACTCAGGATTTATTCGTGCTATATGCATGCTTAAGCCCCTTGTGGGGCTTCTGCAGGCCTATATGAGTTTCATGGGTTTTACAAGTATCGAACTGATCTTGTATTCTACCATGGCCTATAGTGACCTTGTGACTTTTAAGTAGAAAGAGAACAAGGATAAATTCGTCAGCCTAAGTCGCCAACATCATAGCAAATTTTGACAGCGCAAGTTCTTGTATCCATAGTACACAAATAAATAAACCCCAATAGGGCTTTCATCAACCAGCAGAAAAAAGCGATGAGGAAACTAAGCTCAGATTCTATGGTATATGACAAGGAATCGTACTGGCAGCTAAGACAAAAAAAAAAAAAGGTATATATAATGTGCAACCGGCAATCAGAACTCCTATATAAGCAGGTGGCAAATAGCCAAGACTTACGGCGCACAACTTTTTGGTGCTCTTGATTGCAGTCTTGAGATTTTCCAGGGTCTCCTGGTGATACTCGACGTCCCCCCACGAGAAGTCAAAGCGTGCCACTGCCACAGGAAGAACGCAATCAACCGATCAAAACAAAACAGCCTAGTGACAGGAAGCAGGTGAGGCAAGAACGTGAGGCATACCCGACATGCCGACCTTGAGGCAAGCGGAGATCACCTCCACCGACCGGGATTTGGGGCCGAGCGTCCCCACGATCTTGGTCATGGCAGGGAAGAAACTCTGCACACGCAAAACAACATTTCGCGTCAGTGATCCGGGATCTTCTTCGCCCAGAGATCGATCGAGAGAGAAAAGACGTACTGGCTTCGATGGTTCGAGGATGGAGGCCATCCTGATGGGTTCTTCCAGGAGAAGGTGGGTCGAATGCATCTTTCTTCTTCTGGATCTGTGCTTCTGCTTCGGCTAGGTCTGCTTGCGATCGACAACAGAAGACGCCCCTCTCTCTCGCTCTCACTTATGCTAATTCTCCTTTCCCCTCGCCCAACCCACAACAGCGCACGGATATTACTTCTTTAATGGCGCCATTGTCCACTGATTCATCAGAGACTCTACAACACGCGAACTCTTCAATGCCTGAACGCACGTTCTTCTGGGGCCCAGTCATCGGTGTGCGGTGACGGAGCGGTGGGTCATTCGGCCTTCGACATGGACTTCCGTTGAATCGTTTTGAATGGCCAAACTTGGTTTCGACGCCCGAGGTATAAAACCAGCGGCCGCACGCAGCTGGTTCGGGTTCGCCCGCGTGGTCCGCGTTCCACAGCCAATGGCCAATAGAAACATGGGGTCGGTGGGTGACGACGGGCAAAACCGTGGGGGACGGGTCGGCTCTGCCACCGCACTCGCACGCCTCCGTATCGCACGAACGGTACGTGTGGTGGCGACCGAGGCATTGGCCTCGCGTATGCGGTATGATGGCTCGGCCAGCTCATAGATTGTCGAATTGGTAATGGCTATGATGGAAGATATGCTTGGACGTTTGGGTTACATCATGCACAAATAAATAGAACGTTTGCGTCTTGTGATGTTGATGTGGAGCGGTGGTTCGCAGTAACGGACAACGGAAGTTGGCATCATTGAGAGCGAAATAGTTACTGGAGTCGAATGTAAAGAGGCGTAGGGAACCGAAGCGCTTATAATTAAAATTGGAAGCCCTGTCATAGTGTTTATTCTGTGCTTTTTGTAGTCCGTATTTATTTGGGTCCCACTGATAGGAGTATGACGCGGCACACGGGAGAAGGTTTTGGGTGGGGTTGTTGGGAACCACTCTTTTTATAGTTCTGCACCATTATTGGTTTGACTTCCCGTTTGGTGTTTTGGGCATTTGCTGGTCCAATTCGATAATTGTCTTGTAGTTAATCATTCACTTCCTGAATGATTGAGAGTGACTTCCAGTATTTTGAATTCCTCTCAAAATTCAAAACATGTCATGTTGTGAAGATAAAATTTGATTAAGGATTTTACTATTACCAACTAAGTTAATTTACACTTTAAATGACTTTTTTGTTAGTATATTTTGTCAAAAAAAGATTTGGATCAATTATGAAGTTATTTGCCGATACTTGGTCACCTCTACTTGTTACTTTTTAAGAGTGTTATTCTCCAAGAGGTTTCAACAGGAATTATCTGTTTTAGAGTGTTAATGAATAGTTTTATCCTTACGAAATTCAAAAGAGTTATATTGATGCGTCAATAAAGTCTTATGAATTTTGAAAGACTAAGGTCGGGAGAAGCTTGTTAAGTTGATTCATTCGACGTTTAAATGGAAGTCTATCCCTTTTAAATCGAAATTAATTATATATTTTTATATTAATCTCAATAAAAAAAGAATATTCTGTAAAGATTCTATAAGGGAGATAATTTCGTAACTAACTTTAATTATCTCGTGGACTTTTGAAAATGTCTCTATGAATATTTTATAGGAGAGGTAATTCATAATCAACCCAAGTTGTCACCCGAACTTTCAAAAATATTTTTATAAATATTCTACGAGAGAGACAATTTGTAACCAACCTAAGCTGTCGTTAGACTTTCAAAAATATCTTTGTAAATATTATGTAGATGAGATAATTTATAACCAACATGAGTTACCCTTTGAACATTTGTGAATATTTTATAGAGAGTGTTGGATTGAATTGGTATTTGTCTTTTAATAAATCTCATGTGACGTTGACGTGATGAGTGATAACTGATTGTATATTCTTATAATCAGTTGAATAAATGAGTCAAATGATTGAATTATATATGTATAACATTATATTATAAATTTAATTTGTATGGTATTGTAAAAACAAGAACGAACTCTATTAAAACATTTGAGTTAGTTAATGTATTATCAGATAGGTCATAATTTTGAGTTAACATGTAAACATAATGTACAATAATTAATATAATAAAAATATTTTAAAAAATTGAAACAAACACGTTAAGATGGTGAAAAGGTGATGAAAATAACATTTATTTGTTTTAATAAAAAAATATATGTAATTGAAAATTTAAAAATATTCTAATTATAAATAAATAGTTGATGATATATTAAATATTTAAACTAAAGAATTTAATTAGTGAACCGAACTGATAGTAGATGCTGTCTCCTCCTTGCTTGGGTCGGTGGCCAATACATGCTCTCGTTCGTGGAGATGGACCGCTTGTGACAAGACCTCCCATTCTAGAACTTCCACGTACGATTGTGTTCCCTACTGCAGCTTACACGAGTGGCAACTCGAATCTAAACTCGTCGGGTCAATTTGACCTGACCCGGTTTTCCTCGTTCAAAACAGATTTCTTGATTCGTTGACCGAACGGGATTGGTTCAGTCACAAATTCGTCATTAATTTTGTCACGACCCGCCGATTGTCCTAATCCAAGCCGGCAATTTGAATTAGCCCGGCCTGACCCGATCCGGCTCGGAAAATTTTATTTAACCCTTATATTTATCCTGGAAGTGTACTGGGCAGGTCGGACGTTACTTTCGCGGGGGGACGGCCGTGACGTGCCCTCGTCATCACGATCAGCTATGCGTCTCCCTCGGTGGGTAGAGTCGGTCACCTCGCTTTTCCTTTTCCCCTTCTCTCATCGTCACCTCCATCTTCATCCTCACGACACCAACAGTTGCGGCTTGTGCAGCCCTTTTACCATCTCGATCGTCCCCTGCTTTCCTTCCAAAAGAATCAAATCGAGGGCTACTCCCTTTTCTCGATTTCATCCATCTTTTATTTAGTTTTTGCATTCCCAATTTTGTATATGTTTGTCTGTGATTAGAGGTGAACTCCTCCGGATTGGTGACGATGTCTTGCACCGACGACAGAGCTTGCCGTTTCTATCGTCGAGGAAGTGATTGGTACATTTCGTTACACTCCTCTTCATTCTTTTGTGTGTAGACCAGTTAGGATTGGGATCGTGAATCGTCGAGAAAGAGGAACTTTCTTGGCTGGAACATCCCTAAGTAATGGCCAATGTCCTCCAATTGTTACGCTGGTATAGAATCATTGATCGAAGACGAGCAAGCATATAGCTCTGGTGATCCAGAACCAGATAATTGGAATTCAGGACGACGATGGAAAGTACAAAAGGAAAGAGGCAACTCATTTCGTTTGTCCAGCACTATTTGGTGCTGCCAAAGTAATTCACCAAGGCATTATCATGATCGTAGTCCAAGTTATGAAAGGCTTTCTTAAGTATGCCTTTGGATTATTCTGCACCCACCCGCAGGAATTAAAAAAAAACTTTAGTAGCATGTCTAAATTATCGATTAGAAACATTCTATTTGCTATGTCCGAAACCTGCTAATCTTCTCTTAGATCTTATCGTCACCTAACCTAGGAGTGAAGACTTGGGTTTATATTGGTCTTGTACCTGAATCTTCAAAAGGATTGCAAATGATGTGATAGAACAGATGATCGATGGGCAAAAATTCAGGAATTAGTAGATAAGAACATCTTGTTCTAGGCAAAGTAATGGGAAGATCAAATTAAGCAAATTAGGAGGAATTATATGCATTCAATAGCTGCAGCTTCCCTGGTGGTTGGTTTTAACATGACTTTATATTAAACATTTTACTTTTCTTACATGAACTTTTTCGTTCAAATTTTGTCTGATGAATTATATCCTAGTTATGTGACTACTGTTTTGATGAATTATAGGTTCTCTAAAACTGGTATCCCAAGTGATATAGTTATTGAAGTTGAGGGACAAATGTTCCATCTCCACAAGGTAGACATCCTTCGGTCTTGGTACATTCTTCTGAGTGTCATAGAATCATTTTCTCTTAATTCCCTAAGTTTCTTTTCATTCAAATATTAAAGTGCTTTTATGGGGAACTCTCATATATTTTAGGCTGCATGCTTGCTGAACTTGGATTTCGAACCATGTGATGAAGTTAATTTATCCAATTGAGATTAGGCCGGTTTCTGAACTTGTCCATTTCAGACAACAAATATTTTGGATCTACTTTGTTTTCATCATAGACACCAAATTTCACTACGTAGAAGTGAAGACCCGAAGCTTCATTGTTTTGGATATGTTTTTTGGGCTTTTCCTAAATGTACATTGAGGAAATTTCAGATTCAGTCTTTAGTGAACATTTTGAAGTTTCTCTATCAGAGTGTTTTGTTTATTTGTGTCATAAAATCTTTTTTGATTGGGTTTTGTTTGTAATATTGCATATAGATTCCTGAACCCTTTCATCCATCAATAACGGAACTATCATTCCCCTGTCGTTTTTCCTTCTTTAATTATACTTGTCTTTAGTATTAGTCATCATCTGTGCTATTATATGAGAATGTTTTTGGGTCTTTCAGTTTCCTTTGTTGTCAAAATGTGGAAAGATTGCACATATATCAGAAGTATCACAAAATGTCAAAGAAGGTACACATCATATTTTATCAGGATGTCCTGGAGGAGCTGATGCATTTCTATTGGTGGCAAAGTTTTGCTATGGCTTCAAGGTGGAATTGTCACCAAAAAACATCATAATGGTGCATAGTATAGCTGAATATCTTGAGATGACAGAGCAACTTGATGAGAATAACCTACTTCCTGAAGCAGAAAGATTCTTTCATAAATTTGTTCTTCACAGCTGGAAAGACTGCATTGTGGCTCTGCAAAGCTCTGAGGGTTCGCTTCCACATGCTGAGTCCTTCCCTATTGTTACCAAGTGCATTAATGCTCTTTCCAGGATGGTTTGTACTGATCTTAGTTTGTTTGGGTGGCCTATGATGATGTATGGAAGCTTGCAAAGCCCTGGTGGTAGTATTTTATGGAATGGAATAAATACAGGTGCTAAAATTAGAAGTTCACAATCTGATTGGTGGTTTGAAGATATCTCATGCTTGGGAGTGCCAATGTTCAGGAGACTAATGGAAGCAATGTATGAGAGAGGTGTACGACCAGTAATTGTAGCTGGTGCTTTAATGTATTATACCGGAAGGTATTTACGTGGTCTTGATCGGTGGATGAAAAAGCAAGGATCCAGAGATCTTGCATTTCTTACTGTGACACCAGCTGTAGTTGATCACAAAGTGTTACTGGAA